TCTAAATCTATTATAAATAAAGATATCAATATTAAAACAATAGATATATTAAGTTATTTTTCATGCCAATTGGTAAAAAATTTAAACGTAAGTTAGTTTCAATAGCTTAATGTAACTAAATTTAAAATTCACTAAACTTTTTGCTTATGCTAATTTTCCGTCTGCGAATCTATTTCGATTTGTTACAGTGCCGTCCAACTACTTTGTGTAATAAGAGATAATATAAAATCAGTCATGCAAGCAACGTTCATAATTCAAAGCCACCGACGGTCGCGAGTACAAAATTAAGAAACATTGGTGGTTTTAAGACGTAAGAAACTTTCAACGTTTTTAAAAGCTGTCTCCCGTGGAGCGGGACGATGAAAAATTGGATGAATCCAACTCTAGTGTTACACTCTCCGCAACTTAAGGAATTACCTACGTTTTCTTTTTGTGATAGAAGAATGAATTGATTGCCTGTCACTGTAAACGTTCGTGTCATATGTATACTTATGTTTTATGGATTTTTAAAATGTTACAATTTCATAAAATTTTGTAGCTAAACCTGAATGATAATAGATAATTTTCTAGGTTGAGATTTAAATGAGCTCTTACTAAGTTCTATTATCATCAGGTCACAGTACCCGCTAAGAGACTCGGAGCATACCCTAAGTTAGGGATTTCTAGGCCATAGTCAAGCACGCTGGCCAAGTGTGGGTTGGGTGACTTCACGCAAATCTTTGGAACTCTTTGCAGATATTTCCAGCTTACTTTACGACGTTTTCGTTCCCCGTTAGAACATTATTGTTTAAGTATAAATCGTAAATAGAAAAACACATTGGTACATGAAGGGATTCGAACCTAGGACCTGTAATTACAAGTCAAGTAATTAGCTCCTGAACCATCGACGCACTAACTTAACACTTTGTTTTTAATTTGGTTTTGCGTTCTAATACCTTTTAATAATAATGTAAATCCTATACAATATGTAACTACTAGTAATATATTCTTACAACTGATAAATTTCGTACAATCCTATACAAAAGTAGTTTAAGCTTTTCGCCTAATGTCTTTTAGTGACCATAAAAAGTGTAGATAACAAAACGCAAGCTGTGCCGCGACCACATTAATAATTTATCAGCCATATGACGGCTGTTTGCTAATAAAGCGTGAATTCGAGCTGGAAATATTAATAAAAGCTTGCAGCCGGAACTTGCCTCAGTACAGCGCCACGCAGCCGCCCGCCCAATGACAAATGACCAGTTACAACCTTCATTTAGTTTCCATTTAAATTAAACAAGCGAATCAGTTAACGATATCTACAATGAACATTTGTTCGTAATAATAATTACACCAAAAATGAATCGATAAATTGAACACATGTATCCATTACGCTTTATATTCGATGAATAATAATAATCTAGATGATTAAAAGAATCTAGTTATAATATAAGAATGAATTAGATACACACATAATCTCAAGTTTTATTTATGTAGTAATAAATAGATGAATAAAGGTCAAATCCGAATATGTTCGTTAAAGACAATTCATAGCAATCTTTTCGTATAGAGGTCAGGCTTTCAGAGCCGTAATTATCTTATTGTGTCTGATAACTTATACAATTCTAAGAAGCCAAAGGTACAGAATAACAATTAATGCCTTAATTTTTGGGACGACGTAAGAAAATAAATTAATTAACACGAGTTTACGCTATAAATCTCTCGCTAGTCAGTAAGTAAATTAAAAAGAGGAATCATGAATTTCATGAGCGAGCTTTTTGTTCCGAATTGCAAACCATACTGATTTATCATTCCGGTGATGGTCGACATTGCAAGGCGCTGTCTCCACGGGGAGATATATGGCCTCTTTGAAGCGCAGAAAGATGGGTAATTTCATTGAATTTATGAACGTATCACGTTGAAATTGCGAGGTTGAAAATTTGGACATAAAATTGGGATAAACCAATGTTTACATTTAAACCAAGGTTTAAGATACAATTATCTTTTAAACAGAAAATTGTTTTGGGACGCCAATACACTGTTTGATCAAAATTGAATTTGTGTATACACTCATACGTACGTACGTGTTAAATAACGTTTAGAAAGTAAATGTAATATTAATACCAACTCTAACCTATAAAAACAAATGGAACACATTTAAATCTTTTAGCAACATGAGTAATACTAATGTGAAGAAAAATATAAGTATTTTTGTCATACATTTTTACATGCAAAATAACTATTTTTTTATTAGAATTAGAAATTTGATATCATAAAATACAATGATTACATTTAACTACTACGAACATTTAGGAATTTCGTTACTTTCTGTAAGCCACTTTAAAATATCATTGTTTGTATGTCCATTTTACTGTATTCTATATTTACGAAAATAAACATGACTTCGTTTTTAATAAATTTCCTATAATTTTCGAGCTGCTTTATTATTTGTTTATGTCGTTATATATTTTTGTACTCCGAACAAGGTTTATAATGTCACAAAGTACGCATCGCATCAGCGATGGCAGCACCCAAATGACTTAGGATTTATTATATGTTGCATTTTGATAGCGAATGTAGCATATTTTGTGTAATATTTAAAAATAATAATTACTTTCGCTAAGCAATACTAAATACAATAATCTATCAAAAGTATTTATTTTGGTTTTATTAACACGTTACATGTCTCTTTATGGATACAATTTATTGCCAAGTATTTTAATATTAAGCTTGAAAGGTGAATAAATGGAAAATATTTAGGTTTTTCTAGAGGTATTTCATGTATTACATTTCTATAGGTAATATATCAAGAATGCCGCATTATTTCAAAAGCTTCAGTGTACAATGAAATTAGAATTATTCACCTCACCGAGAATTTCTTTAAAGGAAAAAGGTATTTCGGTTGAAGCGGTAATACAAAAACAATATCTAGCGAGATACCAACAACAAAAGGAGGATATTTTGTAAACATTTTACTGCGTCCCAGCCTGTGACGATATTGTGGACGCTGTAGTTGCAAAATGGCAGTTTTTACTACCTTCACCGAGACCGTTCTCTAATGTTATGTCTTCCACGTAGATCGCTGTTACCATTTTTATAAAAAATTATTACTTTTCAACTTATATTTTGGAATTATAATATGTCTATATACTTTTAATATTTGATGTTTTAAAATGTTTTAAGATAATTTTATTCGCTCAATTTCAGATAAATTCACGTAAATAACACGTGGCAAAAAAGCTTTTATTTTTAATGGTTTTCATTTCAATCGTGGAAAATAATATATATTTGCCTACTTTTGATTTTTGTTCATTTTGTTAAAAATAAATTTATGCCAGCAAACCACTGGTTAATGATAAATTAACTAGCAACATATATAATAAATGAACAATTGAAGTCTTCAGTAAGCCATGCTATACACAATAAAAATATCACTAAAAACTCATCAGTTACAGTACAAACAACAATAGCACATCACTTGAATAATATAAGAGCTTATCGAGAATCATTGTGTAACGTAGCATACACGTTATCGATAATGTACATCACTAAAGTTATTCGTGTCGGCTGTTTAAAGTTAAGCCCCGGTTAGCGGCTGAAAGCGATTAAAATCCATTTTCACTAAGCGACTAGTCGCGCAACTTCGACCGTGGAGCTGGCAAGTCAGTAGCTCATAGGAATGTTGCATTCGCGTGCCGCCAAAAGCTATTCGTGATAGTGGAAATGGGTCTTTAGCTACTTTGTTGCAAGTAGATGTGAGTGCAAGCTGCACTGCGGGCGACAGTACCGTGAATACCAAAGACAGGGTTAAGCGGACGGCGAGGCGGCGCGGCGCGACAACTTTGTGGCGACATTCCTGATAAGGCCACAAGTATACGAGCCACAAACTAATGTCTCTGACTAACCTCCTCGCTCATCAGTCTTCGCCCACGCAATTTAAACAATTGTTTTTAAAATTAAAGCAATGTTTTGTAATATGGTCACGGATAGAGAATTATTACGTTATCATAGACACAGAAGTTAAATTAAAGTTGAAATAATAATTACAATATGCTTGAATTACGTCATTCGGTTTGTTTTAGTTAACACATAACCATTTTTAATCGATTATATTTTCTGATAAACATGTGTATTATCAAAAGCGTCAACTAAATATAATATTAAAATAGAAAAGTAATAAGAACTGTCATGTTTTTCAATTCAATGATCTAACAAAACTTGTTCGTTCGGAGCTTTCACGTTTACTTGAAACTTTAGTAACGTCCAGATGGGACGTCCGTCTTGTTTCCATATTATGTTATTGAACTTTATAAACAATTTTCACTTACCTTACTGTTGTTTATTTTACAAAGCATCAATTAAAATAAAAATAAAAATCTTTATTGCAATATCACATTTAATAAATTAAAAACATGACGTTATCTCTCTTAGATTTCTCTAAAAAAAATGAGATTAACTGACTCTCATTTTACATAAATAAAAATCCTATAAATGAGTCTAAGAGCTGCCGTAAATATCAAGTATCAACTTAATTGTAAATCATGTAACCTTTTGAATAATTTTCATTTTTATTACTTCTTAGCTTTTAAAATACTATCTCCACATAAATGTTAAAGTGGTAATGATAATATTAAGGTATTAATATAATCGCTAGATCTATTACCAGTTTTCATATTAAAATAATGTAAACGGGATATTGATAAATGAGTGATCATTACAAAAAGTACATTATAATGAAATAGTTTAGTGGCAAATTGTTAATTCTGGCTAATACTCTATTGTGTACAAAATTAACGCTAATCGCTTCAAAGTTACAAATCCATTAATAATGTTATAATAATTGATATTCCATGCGTGGCAATTTCGTGAATATTAAATTAGAACTTTTTTAATTCAAGACTATTTAATGTGATGGTGTTAATTATCAGGTCTAAAATATATTTTTTCAATTATAAAATGCATTAATGTATGTGTTCCTTAAATTTTTTAACTATATTTAAATCATTATTTAAAATGTGTAGGAGGTGTGGACGCCCCGGAGTTCGGCGAGCCTCTCACCAACCTGACGGTTCCCATCGGGCGCGACGCGACCTTCAAATGTATTGTCGTCAATTTAGGCAATTATCGGGTCAGTATTATATAATTACCAAAAACATAATTACTCTAGCAGTTTGATAACCGCTGGAAACATATTTAACCACATGATAATTGCACGTTGAGTTCGAATAAACGGTGTTATGTTTTTATTTAATCGATTCCTAATTAATACCTAGTTTTATTTAAATTGAATATCTTTTATCAAATGGGAAAACAAACGACATGTTTCTACGCAATCAAGATTGCTTATCATTTAGGTGGTAGAGCCCGCTTTAACATCTTCGCACGAATTGGCCAGAGTCGCCCGGTGAAATACCACGACCACACAGAAGACAGGCGCGAAGTGGAAGCAATTCCTCGTTTCGTCTGATGACTGTGCGTCCCAGAGGCCTAATTTAGTTCTTTTTCCCTTCCCACCCTTTTTCTTATAAGGAAAGGATGGTAAGTGGATGTGGACTCTCCGGATGAGAGGATGCATGGGAAGAGAAAATATTTTCTTTCTGTACATCCTCTCCTCCGTCGATTAAAAGCAATGGCTATGGGCAACGGTCACTTCGCTATTTCAGCGATTTCAGGTGGCCACTCGCTCTTTTGCCACCTTATGATATAAAAAAAGGTAATTTGTCTTACCTACAATTTTCATAATTTTAAAATTCAGGTAAAACATAACAAAAGATGTATTATAAAAAAAAACTTGTCAGAAAAATAATAATGAACTAGATAGTTTCTATGCTTTTGTTGCGAGCAATATTGTAGTTACGAGCGCCGAATATTTATAACCGGTCTTTGTTCGTATGACAGGTGGGCTGGGTGAAGGCGGATACAAAGGCGATACAGGCGATACACGAGCACGTCATCACGCACAACCACCGCGTCTCCGTGTCACACAGCGACCACTTCACCTGGTACCTGCACATCAAGAACGTGCAGGAGGAGGACCGCGGACAATACATGTGTCAGATTAACACGGATCCTATGAAGAGTCAAGTTAGTAGAAATACAACATTATGCATGATTGTCAAACTTAGTAGTAACATTCTATGCATGTTTTCCTTGCAAGTAAACGATAATGCCGACGCGCAAAGATTGTTCATTCATATATAAACTGGGGATCACAAAACAATTAATTAGCTTTTATCCTACGTATGATATTCTTTATTATTTCTGATAGAATTATTTATTTCAGATGGGATTCCTAGAAGTGGTAATACCACCTGATTTTATTCCTGAAGAAACATCAGGTGACACTATGGTACCAGAAGGAGGTACCGCGCGGGTGTCATGCAAGGCGAGAGGGATACCACCACCGCGGGTCATGTGGAAACGAGAAGACGGACAGGAAATTGTTGTGAGAGATCAAAATGGATCGAAAACTAAAGGTAATAAAAGAAAAATAAAGTGTACTGCTTCCAGACTCGTAAGGTGATAAACGAGGAAATATATTGATTCTAAACCAATTTCATTTATATATCGTCACCTCAAAATCAAACTCTGGACAAACCTTTTACTTAAGCTATATGAATAATATCATTTTCAAAGAGTAATGAAAAGATAAATGGCTTCATGCTAAGCCACTAATGTAAAACTACACTAACAAATTTTTCGCAAATTTGATATCCAAATCCGCAACCACTAGAAAATTTACCGATATGTTACGTGTTTGTCGGTCATGTACTGTTCTCGTAAACTACAACCAAAAAGATCTACGGAAGGGCTAAATGTACAACGATAAATAGAACGTTTATCAACACGCAAGTTATGAAACTATCGGAATTTTATTATAAAGACGGATGTGCTAAGTATTTTTACAAGAATCGAACAGATATCCAACGTTGTTTTTGCATATTAACATGTTCTGCGACAACAAAGATTTTGTTCAATCGCACACAAATATAGATGTAAAACACAATTTATTTTCTGTTAACAAAAAATATTTTAGGAGAGGTTTCATAGGTTTATTGTTTTACAAATTACTACTGTAGGAAAGCAATCCGTTTCCCCACGAAGCGGCCCACATCAGCCTGATAACATCGCCACTCTGACACGCGACCACTGAATGAATTTGATTGAAAGCTCGAGTATTTTTGTGTTGACAGACTCATATTGTTGAAAATAAAATACACGAACAGCGACTTATTTGCTATACGAACTCAAGAAACAATGCCATATCAGAGTTTCAATTGCAAAATGTCAAGCCCGTTCTCGCAGGCCATATTGTGCTCGAATAAGAAGTTGACCCCAAAATTTCACTTAACTCGGCAAGCTGCAGGAAAAATATTTCATTTGTCTTAGTTTATTTGAATAGTGCAAGGACGGCATTGTTTTTCTGAATATGTATAATAATAGTATCTCTGTGACCGCATTTGTGAGGGCACAATGAGCCGCGCGGCCAGTATTCCCGGGATGAGTTTCGCGTCCAGTATTGTTTAAAGTTTGTCGTAATTAGTAGAGTTACTGCGTTGAATAGACTTCTAGGTCTCATTGTGCGAACCCTGGACCTCTTGAATAGGTCACTGTGATATCCTTATCAATACCGAATTACGTATAATAATGTACTGAACTACTACGCGATTAACTTAATTCCTTCTTATGTATTCGGTTAAACAATTTAAATTGATTCTTGGATCTCTGACATTTTTTTGATAATAATCAAGTTTTAATGATGTTTATTACCAAATTACATTTCACATTTTTTTTCAGTACTGTCTTTCCAAGGCGAGGTTTTAAAGTTGTCGAAAATTTCCCGATCTGAAATGGGAACATACTTATGCATTGCAAGCAACGGGATACCGCCAACAGTTAGCAAGAGGATTCATATCAGCGTACATTGTAAGTTGATTCATGTAATGAAACGTATTATATTCTATCTAAAAATGTAAGAAGAAACAGCAAGTTAATTTATTGAAATTAATAATTTTAATTTCTTATTTTCTAATAGTATCAAACAACATTTATAAATTTGAAATGAGAGCTACGTAAATTGAGGTAAATTGGTATTTAATAAGGGTCATATTGTAAGTTACTCGCATAACTCCAGATCGTATTTAAAAGGTTAATTTGAAAATTATTGTTGTTTGGAAGTTTATTATGAAATACTACGAAAGGAAATATGACCAGGGCAAAGCTTATAATGAATTTTAATTTATAGTTCATCCAGTGATCCAGGTGCCCAATCAGCTCGTAGGCGCACCTCTGGGTACTGACGTCACTCTTGAATGCTACGTCGAATCCTCTCCAAAGTCTATCAATTACTGGGTTAAGGATCCAGGTAAGGAATATATACCTACTATGCATCATTATTCTCGTGCGCTTTTTTAATTTTTATCATTCGTCATATCATTCCGGATTCACTCATATATAAGAACATCTATCAATACTTTTTTCGGTCATCCTCTATCTTTGTTGACAATATTTAATTGTGACTGCATAGTTTATTTATATTAATAAAAGAATAATTATATTTAGAAAGATTGTCCAAAAATAAATTCGTAATTTACATTTGTGTGGGTGCCCTAATAAGAAAGTAAACAAATTATAACACAGCCATAAAACTCTTAGGTGTCTGTAGCAAGTTTTAACATTTTTCATAAAACTTCGCGCAAGAAAGATGAAATTCTAATATTGAATTTGGAAGTGAATGTTTTAAGTAATAAATTGTTTCGCAGGTGAGCTGATTATACCATCTGAGCACCACGAGATGACGGTGCGACAGAAGTCCATGTTCGAAGCGGAAATGTCTATGACCATTAAAAATATACGACGGGAGGACTTAGGCAGTTATATTTGCGTAGCCAAGAATTCTCTTGGTGATGTTGAAAGCAAGATTCGTTTATATGGTAATTTTGTTATTACTTTATTCTCTGATTGAAATTAGTGGTTCTTCTGTCTTACCTAAGCAACCTTAGTTCTGTATTTAATATTAACCGCAATTAGATCTCGTAATATTCAAGCTTAATAAAATTTGTTTTCAAACTCTGTTCCGTGATGATTTTACTACTCAAATAGACATTACATTGTTTATAGTACAAAGCCTACACAAGTTCCTAAAAAGACTGATTTTTAAATTAAATTCTTTTGTACAGAAATACCGGGTAATGACAGACATGTGTACCAATATCCAGATGAGAGGACAACATCCGATGACGAGTATGGAACGGAAATATACGACGATGAAGACATTCCGAATAACAATGATAATGAGAAAAGCAATCGAGTGCCGGACCGCGCCAACAAATGGTACTCGAACGATGGCAAAATTGTTATAACTACTAATAATGGAGCGTCTACTATGTTTACCGCAACATTAACTGTAACTATCGTCTTCCTACTTCCTACATTTATTTAAACGACTATCTGATAATACAAACTCATGCTAACATTTATTATGTTTTATTATAACTACTATTTACATGCATATTAGTATCCCAATGTATAAAAAATATTATGTAAATAAGACGCTCACATGTTTAAAACTGGAGACATAGTTTATTCCCCCTTAGCTTTGTCAGCATCAAATGCGCTTTCCTATTGATCTCGTCTATTACTCTAACCAAAGGATGCGTACTATAAACATTGTATGGTTGTCTTTATTATTTACAAATAAAATAAAAGGGATGCCAAATGATTTTTGTACAGTTACTACTGTCGAAACTCACGATTAGAGAAAAAAGGCATGGTGAATGGGAAAGCGTAATCTTTGAATGCCAACTTATTTTTCGACTGTCACTTTTTTTTCATGTCAGATTAATAATTTTTTTTAATAACATCACAAATACAAAACCAAACAAAATTAACAACCTAATTAATTTGCGTAAAGTGATAAGAAAATTGTTTGATAATAATAAAAAATATTGAATTTCATTTGTATAGATAGAGAAAAATATTTAAGGTTTTTTTTTTCAGCAATCTATTTGCCTTCAATAAAATATTATTTATTAATATGTAACGTGATAATAACTAGGTTAATATTAGTGTAAATAGATTGTTTAATGTAAACTAAATGCAATTTACAGTTTCAGCCTATGTAAGCAAATATTTGAATAGACTTTGGGTATAGGCGGTTATTAAATATATAAAAAGTTATTTTGATGCGATTGTATATAGCTAATATTAAGTATTGTAGATGAATATATATAATATTATATAAAATTATGTTAATTTATTTATTGTAAATAATCTTTTTTATATTATTTTAGGCTCTATCATTGTATAAGAAAACTACAATGCATACTATTTACTTACATATAATGTTTGTTTAATTTCGTTTAGAAAAGTGCTTTTAAGAAAATATTTGTTATTATATTTTTTTATTTTAAATGTTTAAGTTACTTTAAATTCGTAAAATGTTCCGAGTTAAATGATATTTATTTTTAAAATTTTGCATAATTATTAATTTTGTGTTCTATTAACTTATGTTTTTTATAAGTCGTATATAACTTTTATGTTATTACTATCTTTTTGTACTGTAGTCTTAAACACCCTGTTACATTTATTAGTTAGAAACGAAAAAAATCTAGGCAAATGTCAACAAACTCAAAATGTTTATGTACATTTAACGGAATAATTGATATAAAATAACATGAATAAAAGATTGAGGAATTGTAAATGCGCGTTTCTTTGTTTCTATGATTAACTTCACTTAAATTGTAAAAAGTAACCTTAAAATATTTTGTCGTTGGTAAATTGATCAGTATTTATAATGTATTGTTTACATTGCTATGAAACTAAATAATTAAAATATAATCTTACTAAATAACTAAACCTTCAATAAACTATATACTAAAACTAAACCAAACTTAAAATAAAACTAAATAATATAAAAAATCAACCCCAAATCGCTGCGCTCGTACGGTAGGGTTCCCAAGAGGCTGGCGGCATTTCTTTGTTTCTTATATTTTCAATGTATCTGTTTATTAAACACGTGAACTCAAAGAACATGACTGTATGTTTTAAGGACTTAATAAAAATATTTAAATTGAAGAGTTATTATAACTCACATGTTTTATGACTTTAGATTATTTATTACAGAACATGGAACTTCAGTGGAGAATAAGAAAATGTTAGAATAAAAATCTCTTGGTTGATTTCAATTTCGTAAAAAAACATCGAAAATCATTTTTCTATATTATAAATGAATACATAAAATACCCAATCATTCTGATTGGAAATCAATTACAACTTTTCAATGTGTCTGCCTATATATTTTGAATTGAATCGTGTGATCCAATTGAGTTTTCTGCTCGTAAATGCAGCAAATATACGGGCGCCATTCGACAAGTTAAAATTTAATTAACTACCGTCAAATGTGGAATACATCGTACCATTAATATGTATTAATTAATTTCCTTTTTGATGTCAAAGTGTACGTACTTCTTGTATTCTGCGTATGACACTGAGTGGAATTGTTCGTAAAAGAAAATAAATTGAAGATCTTTTAAAGAATTAATTAATTTTTATATAAAAAATTCTCATATCACAATGTTACTTCCCATACTCCTCTGAAACAGCTTGTTTTATATGTATATTTTATAGGTCTGAGAATCTACTATCTAGTAAAGTAGTAAAAACTAGAGAGTTTTTATCCCGCGCAGACGGTATCGCAGGTGACAGCTAGTAATATTTTAAAGAGCTATATTCACTTTGAAAAAAATTTAAAAAGAATTATAACAAACATATTTTCAAATTCTATTCGATAAATTATTGAAAATTCGTTAAATGTTTACCCTTGCTCTTCGCTAATGCAAATAATATAAATGAAATTTATCTTTATTCGTATATTCAGTTACTCCTTTATCATTAATAAATCGTTCCCTCGCTTCCTTTCACATGTAATTACTGTTATTTATAAAGGAATAACATATGTTTTCTCCAAATAATTCTGACGAATGCCGGAGAAGAGTTAGCCATTATTTTTCCTCGAGCCAAGAGGGAACTCGCACAAACGACCTTAATTTGGGCAATCTAAACATAGCAAAGCAAAAGTGATTGATGCCAGTCGTCGCTCAGCCTGACGACGACGGTGTAACAAGTGTTTTACGTGACTCTAATCATGGCCATTGCCTATATATCAAACTCACTTCTCTGATAAATTATTTCAATCAATAAACTTCCTTTATATAAATTTATAAATCAACAAACAACAACATAACTCATGCCCGTAACCTAGAAGGGTAGGCAGAGACCGCGAACCTCCATTTAGTGCGGTCCTCATCTTGTTTCTTCTTTGTATTATTCAATGCACTATAATTAAATCTTTAAAGTAATTGGCGTTTATACTGATATGTGTTAAGCTATTGGAAAAATAGATGCACGGAATTGTCATAAGAAAAGGTTGCTAAGCAGTCCGAGATTTAACTATTCAAGGAATTATTTGTCCTCAAACTCTTTAATTTTCTGTTTGACTGGTAGGCTAATACTAATAATAGGCATGGGAGATATAACGTCTAATTTTAAATTATTCAAACGTTCGTGAGACATTATACTAAACTGATTTTAAAACGGCTAAATACTCACATATATTATTACTCGGACGCAGCCCGTCATCACACAGAGTGAGCGACGGGCCGCGTCCGCGAATTAATACCAGTACCACTCATCCTGATGAAGGGTCCTCGATGGGATCGAAACTAGTCGGTGCCGCTACCGGTCGATTATACGTGAGTGTTTAGATGTTTTTATATCAGTTTAACATCTAATTTTGATATTAAACTATGATTAATTTCATCAGTCTCTTATTTTGGGGGTAAGATTCCTTGACCTATTGTCCAACCTCAAAGTTCAGTCGCGTATGAAGACGATAATTTTTACAAGCTTTTATTTAAGTATCGACTGTCCCGATGTTTATCAATAAATTTTGTAGATTTTATTTGATCCACTCCCTAGTTACTAATTGGGCTAAAATGCACACATATGCAAATCGCGTGAAAATGATATGGCATGGCATGGTGCTAGAAAGTGCCATAGGACCTTCGCATTGAATCGATACAACCTCAAGTGTGGGCTTGTTAAAATCGTCTTCTTTTAATTAACAAGAACATAATAAAATATTATTTTTAAACTTTTTTATTGAAATTTTAAAATCATATTACTGTTAGTATGAATAAAAATTTCGCCATGAGTTATTAAGTTAAAATTCACTTCCTATCCTACAACTGTATTTATTACTAACTTTCTAAAAGGCATGACAGACACAGATATGGTAATATTATCAATTCAATTTACCTAGGTGAGAGTTCACTGCATCAACATTTACTAAAATCTCTCAACTTTTGCTTTTAGCGCAGACTGAAAGTAACATAAACTAAATTTAAATACAGTCAAGTCTCCGCATTCGCGCAAATGTGCCGCGGATGCATACGAAATTTGCCTAAAATTTTTCCCGCGAATCATGAAACCACGATTAACGATAACTCGAATAAGATGTTTTCATGTATGTTTAAATTATATTCCACAATAATACTTGTAATTACCTACGATGGCACCTGAGGGATTGACTTTAATGAACATTAATTTAAACGGGACTTTCAGCTATCCCCCTTGTTACTTTATGAAACGTGGCTAATTTGGAGACTTAACTTTATCATTATGAACTTAATCAAAGGGATAAAAGGATTTAGATTGACGTTTAACCGTTTTGAGTAGCTTTTAATTTTAATAGTGTGTGAATTTATCATGAAAAATTCATTGAATTTTAAATGCTTTGATTTTCCCTATGTGATGGTAAAACAACGAAAGTTAGCTATCCAAGATTCATCGGTAAAATCAGGAGTCAATAGAATTCTAGATAAAAAGGAATCAAACAAACCTATATATTTTAATTATATTAGAAACATTTAAAATACTAAAATGATAACTAAATCATATTTAAGAAATACAAGTATGAAATTAAAACAGAGTAAGCAACCCTTAGCATTTTATTTAAATTAAAATTCCTTTTAAAAGTCACTCAAGGCTTAAGACGTGTGTAATTAACCGAGCCTAGTTTACAACCCCTTCTTATCCAAGACGGTGTACGTTGGTCTAAGTAAAGGAGCGAATGCTCCACGCAAAAGTGTGAACAGAGCTAATGGCGCTTGAATAATTTGAACAAGTCTCTTCATTTCCAAGGAACTGGCAGAATTTTTGAACGATTCACAAGTTCAACGGTGCTCACTATTTAAACAGCTACGGAACTTTGAATCTAAATTAAACCTACTATATAACGTAATTATTATTCACTTTTATTATGAACTATCTATTGCCCGTGACTCCATCCGCGCGGAATTGAAAAAAAAACTATATACGAGTAAGTAGCCCATATATTCTTCCAGACTATGTACTATATCTATGCCAAATTTCAACGAGATCCATGCAGCCGTAGGAGATATCTTCAAATAAACATCAATCCATCTATCCATCCATCCATCTATTCATTCGGATTTTTAATATCCATCATCATCAGCTCACTAATATTAGTAAGATAAAATAAGTTTGGATCTTAACAGTATACAACCGTCTTTTGTTAACGGAAAAACAAATGAAACGTGTCTAATTCGTTTACTCTCATGGCTCTTAATTCGAAATACGAGTCTCATCATGAACCACCTCGTTTCGAATTGTTCAGGTAGAGTTTTGTTTTAAAAATTATTTTAAAATCTGCCAACCACTTTTATCAAAAAATATTTTTAATAATAAGTAAGAATGTATATTTACAAATCATAATTGGAACATCTTATTACCTTTAAATTGGTACCGCTCTACATTATTAGGCGACTTACATTCGGAATCGTTTTCGGTCGA